ATAATGGTACATTCTTATTAACCAAAATCCATACTTTATTAATATTTCTTTAGTTTTTTTGAAAATGTACTAAAATTTAATCATTCATAAAAGCTGTCATTTAATCTGATGGTAAAATACCAAAAGCAATATTAGAGTTGATTTATTATATATTTTAGCTTTGAAAACCATAGAAATCAGTTATCCCAGTTTTTTTCCTATAAAAGACTCATTTTTGCAAAGGATTATGCACAATTTTAATTAGAATATCATGACAAGGGTATTTCATAATTTAATTTTGAGAAAGAGACCGACCACGAGTGGGGGGAGGGGCAGAGAGAGAGAGGGAGACATAGAATCCGAAGCAGGCTGAGCTGTCAGCACGGAGCCCTATATGTGGCGCTCGAACTCACAAACTGTAAGATGATGACCTGAGCTGAAATCGAATGCTTAAGGGACTGAGCCACCCAGGTGCCCCCATAATTTTTTAAATACAAAATGAAGCCAGTGACTCAAAAAGTTATCTGGTGCAATGGGTTTGAGGGGAAATTTCATAATATATATCATTACAGATATGAAGTATAATAGTTCAACTTTTTTAGTGCTGGACAGGGAAGAATCATGATAAAGAGGTCGATATGAAATCATTTGATTACAGTAATACTATCTAACATTTGAAATGCATCCATGCTCTTTTTTTGTAATCATATTAGAGTCAAGTATATTTATTTTCACATCTGTTATAACTGCTATTACAAAGGAGACATACTATTATTTTCCAAGTGATAATACAGAGAGCAATTTTTTTTTTCTCCAGGGAAATTGTGCAAGCCGATACAAGATTTAAACTCTTCACCTAATATATAAAACAGGAGAAGCCTCTTCAGATTTAATTTCTGAAGTTTGGAATGCTCGTATTTCCCAGTTAGGCCACAGTTCATTCCTGTAATCTGGCCCAGAGCTGCTGCTTACTGCGGGTCTAAAGCGGCAGACAGGATTTCTTTTTGGGCTTCTTCTTTTCTACTGGTGTTTTTCTTTTTTCTTTTAAAAAAATTTTTTTTTGATGTTTATTTTTTAGAGAAAGAGACAGAGAGAGACAGAGTGTGAGTTGGGGAGGGGCAGAGAGCGAGAGGGAGACACAGAATCCAAAGCAGGCTCCAGACTCCCAGCTGTCAGCACAGAGCCCAAAGTGGGGCTCGAACTCACAAGCTGTGAGATCATGACCTGAGTAGAAGTCAGACACTTAGCTGACTGGGCCACCCAGGCGCCTCTCCCCACTGGTGTTTTTCTATTTATATGTCTGACCAGGTCATAAAAGATCTTATTAATGTTGATCTTTAACTTTGTAGTAGATTCTAAAAAGGCATGGTCATACCACCATCTTCCTAACCCTTTTTCCTTTTTTTTTTTTTTTTTTTTTTAACCATCTTGCTAAATTCTGACCCTGTTCTTTGCCAACTACTTGCTCATCTTCCAGGTCACATTATTGCCAGCTAAAATCATTGGATATCTTCTGCGTCCTTAACCCATACAATCAGTTCCTTAAGGTCCTATAAGTCATTAAACACGGACTGAGCTGTAATAGGATATGCTAGTGCAAACCCTTGGCCGTTGTTCATACACAAATCCCTCATTGCTATAAATTCCTCTGTCCTGCTGTGTCCAGGATTTCAAGCATACGCTGTTGGCAATCTACTTTAGCTTGCTTTCTGAAGAATTCTGGAGGAATCTTCTATTGTTGGGTCATATTTTTCAACAAAAATTCTGGGAACAAACTGAACTGTGAGATCAGATTTCCCATGCCTCCTGAACCAAGGACCACTAGCTTATACTCACACATGACCTGGTCTGTTTGAATCCTGACAATCTACTCAATGCCACTGAAGTTACAGTGACACACACACTGTTATACACAGAGTAAACACCCTCTGATCCAGTCATCCCACTTCTGGGAATCTATCCCCCACTTGGGTCTGGGCCTCCTCCTCCCTCCCCTACACAGTGGCTGTGCTGTGGCTCTGCTCAGGTTCTGGGTGGTGGTGGTGCTGGCAGTGGTACCTCCAGAACACACTCACATGCCTAATATTTCTGTAATTTTTACTTGGTGTCCTTTTTATGTTCCAGGATCCTATCCAATGTTCATATGCAAATGATACAATGGGAAAGGGATATAACCTTTCAACATTATTACAAATGCAAAGGATGGTAAAGTGATGAATATTAGTACACATTCATCAGCGACGAGGGCTTTGTATCTTGAGTTGTTTTTAGATACATTACATTTAGATGTCAGGTCTCTTTAGGCTCCTCTGTACTATGACAATTTCTCAGACTTTCCTTGTTTTTGATGATCTTGATAGTTTTAACATGGTTAGCTATTTTGTAAGATATTCCTGAACTTGGGTTTGTCTGACATTTCCTTATGATTAGACGGTGCTATCATTTTTGGGGAGGAAGACCACAGGGATAAAGTACCCTTGTCATCACATATTAAGGCTGCATGACTATCAACATGACTCACTGGTTATGTTCATTTTGATCATGCACCTGAGGCAGTGTTTGTCAGATCTCTCCACTGTAATGTTATTTTTTTCCCCTTTCCATACTGTTCTCTTTGGAAGGAATATACTCTCTGTAGCCTATACTTAAGGAGTGGGGAGTTATGCCCCATTTCCTTGAGGGTAGAATATTTATATAAATTGTTTAGAATTCTTCTGTATGGGAAATTTGTCTATTCTACTCCACTTATTAAATTATTCAATCATTTATATATATCTGTATGGATTAATTGATATTTTTTATATTTTATTATAATCCAATATTAGGTCATCTGTTTTGTGGCTCAGATTGTTCTAACTTTGGCCACTGAGACCACTTTAGGTTGGCTTCTGTATCCCTTTGACATACCCCCATCAGTTTGTTTTTTGAGCACTTTCTTACTTTCTTGGCATAATAAGACTCTGTGTGTGTGTGTGTGTAATATGATGGGAAAGTGATATAATGGGAAAGTGATATAACCTTTCAACATAATTACAAAAGCAAAGGATGGTAAAGTGATGAATATTAGTACACATTCATCAGCAGTGAGGGCTTTGTGTCTGGAGTTGTTTTTAGTTTGGTTTCCTATTCATATATTACTTTTAGCTTGGTTTACAAGTTAACCAATGATTTTTTCTGTAACCTTGCATATTATAAATAAAATGAGAGAGTCAATGAAGTTATAATTACATACTTTTATTTAAAGAGGAAATAGGGGTACTTATTGCTGATAACTGGTAATTACATTATCAAAGGGCTGTTCATTCAATAAGCTTACATGTTAAAAAAGGCAGATTTATATGTTAAAAGAAGGAAATGAAAAAGAAGTAAGCAACCTTTACTTTTGGACTAGAATAATCTGCAGATTGTAAGATATTGAGTCCATTTTTAAAAGATGATAAATCACTAGTATCACAAGTTTTAGGGAAGGGAAAAGACCTAAGAAGTAATACCATTTCTTTGTTCTCTAATTTTCAAAAGGCACTTCTACCTGTAAATTAGGCCAATAGTTAAATAGCAAATAGTTAAATGAGCAAATAGTTAAATGATTAGGAGCAAGTTGTAGTTCTTACATTTCTGGTTCTCTTATGTGCATTTACATTGGGAAATAATAATTTCTAATGTTTCTTTAGCTGTTCAGATTTGTCCTTTGGTTATATGACAGGCAGCAATGTGAAAATGTATTGCATGACAGCTTATTTATCAATACAAACCTGGCTGGTACATCTAGTCCCATTGCTGATGAAATTTGGTGTGCCCAATAGCTAACACTTGTTTAACTTTGTGAGACAAGAACAGAATAGAGCTTCTACAAATGAGAAAACAAGATCAACAGCAGTCCTGGGATATAAACGGGAGTCTGCTTTTCATTTGCTGTTTTTCAGAACTACATTGTATGCCATTAAGAGAACTGTTTTTTTTTTTAAGTTTTTTTAAAATGTTTATTTTATTTTTGAGAGAGGCAGAGACAGAATGCGAGTGGGTTAGGGGCAGAGAGAGACGGAGACACAGAAGCAGAAGCAGGCTCCAGGCTCTGAGCTGTCAGCACAGAGCCTGATGTGGGGCTCAAACTCACGAGCTGTGAGATCATGACCTGAGCTGAAGTCAGACACTCAACCGACTGAGCCACCCAGGCGCCCCTAAGAGAACTGTTTTAAGCAGACTGCCCCTGTATTTAGTTAGTATCAATTTTGTTTTAATACATAAATAACCTCTTTGAATATTGACTACTTAGACTCTGTGTGTGTGAGGGAGTGGAGAGGAGAAAGTAAGAGTGAGGGGAGACAAATGACATTTGTAGGCCATACCACAAAAGTTGGCAGCTATGGATCATATTTTCTAAGGCAAAGTCTTGTTGGATCCTAATATGGGAACTAAGAGATCAAAAGAAGATCAGACAGCTAACTTAAAATCCCAAGTTTTTCAGCCAAGTCAAATCTATTCACAGATGCTGGATTATTAGGATGACCCCTGAGCATAGAAAGTTGAAGGTAGTTTCTTCATTGAGAAAATAAAGACAGATTGCTTAGGGGAAAAGAGTAAAAAGGATGAGGTATCAGACACACTAGTGAATCACTAGTGAAATAAAATGTTTTAAGTGTTTATATATCTTATCTTAGATGTATATAAGACCATTAATTCTCTGATCTCTCAGGAAACCTACATTTAGTTACAGTATTAAAAACAAAAGATTGATCTATTTTTTTTTTCCTTAGAGAGAGAGAGAGAGCAAGAGCACACTCAACAGAGGGGCACAGGGAGAGAGAGATCTTAAACAGGCTTCATGCTCAGCATGGAGCCTGACACTGGGCTTGATCTTACAACCCGGGGTTCATGACCTGAGCTGAAATCAAGAGTTGGACACTGAACTGACTGAGCCACCCAGGTGCTCCAAGATTGAACTTCTAATAGAATATCAAATCCTATAAGAAGCAGGGTTCCATGGAGTCACCCAGTATACAGATATTGACTTCTCCCCACCATAATATTGACAACATTTATCAAGCACATACCACATGTCAAGAAGTCTGCTAAGGACTTACAAAGATGACTGAAAGGATACTTGAGCTCATAGTCCAGGGGTTATTGAAAGGAAAAAGTGGTGGGTCACAAGAGGACGGGAGGGAAATCAATATGAATGAAAAGCTAGAGTCTCACTGTAAGGAAAAGAGGAAAGAAGATTAATGCTTTGGCAAGAGAAAAGTAGATTCCTGAACAATGTGAAGCCAAGAGCTGTTCAATCTCATCAGATTCTGAAGGCATCTCTAGATGCAGCTTTCCAAAGAAAACTGGGGCAATGACAAATGGGACAGCTAAAAGTAGGTCACAATTATAGCAAAGAAAACAACAGCCAGCATACACTTAGCCATTGTTATTGTTGAAGTCGTGGAATTAGTGTGTTCGATAACTCTTGTCATCAGTGGCTTCCTGATACGATCTTCTGTGGTGAGGATAGCTTTTCGGGCTCCATCCCATTTTCCAGGGCCTTGTAGACGATACTGGATTGGAGTGCAGGGTCCCCAGATGATCTGTATTGCCAATTTAGGGTCAGTGAAGGCCAGAGACAGCAGACTGGGCCTGACACCCACGAGATCAGCCAGCTCTTCCATGGTATCTATATAGTCTCCCTGAATGGTATGGCGTTGGCTCTCCACATACCTGAAGCAGAGAAGACAGAAGCCATGGCCTGTCAATGATTCAGTCAATTAATCAGTGCTTTCTGATTGCCTGTTATTGGCTCCGTATTTGGCTAGGAGCTGTAGAAAACAAAGAAGAAAGGAAAGACATTGTCTTTATCCTTAAGGACCTTATAATCTACTGGAAGATAGAAGATAGATACACATAAAGCACAAGAAAATATAAGATTTTTGGTATATTGTGTGGTTTTAGATTGCTAAGTAGAAATGTTAGAAGAGGGTAGTTAAAATAGAGCAGTATGTCCTTGAAAGATGTGGAAGACATATCTGCTAGCAAACAGCAAAGTGTTACAAGTCAGGGGAGCAGCAGAGTGAAGGAATAAAGCAGGAATGAATGTGGAATAGGAGCATAGAATATCTGTGGGTGCTACCTACAGTAGAAGAGTCATGTTGTGGAAAACAAAGATGGATAGAGGCAAATATAGCAGATTCAGAGAAGACTCTGATGTTATGAGAAAACTCACCACAAAAATTCTCAAATTTGGGACCCTCAATTGTTTTATGAGGCAGTGGTAGTGGGGTCCACAGAGCAGGACTTCCCCGGGCCAGTGCTAATTTGGAATCCTGAAAGGAGTGGGGGGATGACTTATCCCACAAGAGGTAGTGGCCATCCAAACAGAGCCAGGTGGAGGCATTACACCAAGTGCAGATTTGAAGAGCTAGAACTTTTTAGAGGGAAAATGTGGTAACAGATACTTGTGGCAGGAGTGGGATTTAGAGAGCTCACTGGTAACTTTTCTTCCTATAAAGAAAATAAAACAAAGAAGAGTAGGACAGAAAGGAAGGAAGAGAAAAACCAAATCAAACTAATTGAGATTAGATGGGATTGCTTGAGGAATCCAAAAACAGGGACAGGAAAAAAATGATAGAAAATAAATTTGAGGTAGAATTAGTGAGATAGAATTTCAGAGGAACTGACAGATGGTCAAATAGCAATTTCCTGAAATGGGACTAGTTTCAAAGAGAAGTGAAGACAGGAAAGAATTTGAGAGCTTCCCCTTATGGATGTTATGTTGGCTGAAGGGACTGTAGGCATACATTTATCCTTCAGTGGTGGGTCAAGAGCTGAGTATTCATAAAGGTTTATCAAAAGGGATTCACTTGTACCAGCCTTGTAGGGTTGTTGGGAGGATTAAATGAAGCCATGCATATAAAACACGTAGTGTGCGTACACAGTTGACCCTCGATAAAGGTTAAATTGTATCTTTGGGGACTGCTCACAGTCAAAAGGTAGTTAGACAAAAATAAGTCTGGGGAAAGAGAGGCGGGAAGTTGAAATAGGATATTTACTGCCAGAAAAGCAAGGAAAGAAAGCACTCCAAGAAGGAAGAGACATTTACAAGCACCAAACTCACCAGTGAGAAGAAAAATGGAATTGGTCATAGATGACCTTCAAGAGAACAGTTGCAGAAGGATAGAAGTTACAATACAGGAGGCTTAGGAGGAAGAAAAGAATGAGAATTTAGAGCATATAATGTAGAATATTTATTGTAGAAATCTGGCAGTGAAAGGAGAAAAACAGCAGAATACCTGGAAAGGATATCAGGGTTAATTAAAAACTTGCTCCTCGGGGCACCTGGGTGGCTCAGTCGGTTGAGCGTCCGACTTCGGCTCAGGTCATGATCTCACAGTCTGTGGGTTCGTGCCCCGCATCAGGCTCTGTGCTGACCGCTTGCTCAGAGCCTGGAGCCTGCTTCAGATTCTGTGTGTCTGCTCTCTGCCCCTCCCCCGCTCACGCTTTGTCTCACTCTGTTTCTCAAAAATAAATAAATGTAAAAAAAAATAAAAATAAAAAAACTAAAAAAAAAAACTTGCTCCTCTTCCCAGACAGGGGAGAGTTATGCTAGTAAAATCAATGAAAGAAAACCACCTCTTTGGGCCTGGAATGATTATACCCCTAACTTTTGCACAAAAATTTAGGAACTTACCATCAACTTCCACTTTGTCCAAATAAAAATCACCTAGTGTATAAACTCAAGTTCCGAAATTCAGATTGCTAAATTACCATGTTGGCCCAAGCATTAAGCAACTAGCTGATGTTACCACTTTCCCAGATCACAAAGACTGTTCACACCATGAGCTGCTGTGACCTGAGGGTGCTGTTACATGATGACAGCTGACAAAGTAGCCTATGCTGGTTTGTTTTTTTGTTTTTCTTTAAGGAGTCTCTATGCCCAGTGTGGGGCTTGAACTCATGACCCAGAGATCAAGAGTCTGATATTCTACCAACTGAGCCAGCCCCGTGCTCACCTGTGTTGATTTGTAGATACACCTACAGATTTGTGACTGGGCCATATTTTCTTCCCATTAAATCATTGACCCTCTTCCTTTGGCAGCTCCACTAGCATTTCAAGTAATCCTGCCAAAATTAATACACCTGATTTTCCCTCCATGTACTTTTTCCTATCTTTCTTTTAGGTTCTAATCATAGGATTTTAAATGCTTTTCTGTTCTTTTCCATGCATATTCAAACCATTTGGTGCTATTTCCCCATTTTATTGTCACACAAACTATCATTTCCCTTCCCTTCAAAATATACTCTAAATCCTGGACCACCTGCGTGGTTGAGTCAGTTAAGCATCTGACTTCGGCTCAGGTCATGATCTCACAGTTCATGAGTTTGAGCCCCACATCAGGCTCTGTGCTGACAGCTTGGAGCCTGGAGCCTGTTTCAGATTGTGTCTCCCTCTCTCTCTGTCCCTCCCCCACTCGTGCTCTGTCTCTGTCTCTCAAAAATTAATAAACATTAAAAAAATAAAAAAAAAATCTAAATCCTTAAAATAACATGAGGAAGATAAACATAGTCCAATATTGCTCTAATTAAGAACTAAGAAGGAAATTACCACACACTCTCTTACCTTTTTGCCATTTGCTCTTGAACCTTAGCTATCTCTGCTTTCATTTTGCTTTGTGAGGGCAATGTCTTTAGCCCTAAAGAGAAAAATCAAAATTTTAAGTGTAAGATTACCTCACTGACAACAATAATCCTATTAACAATTACTATGCCATGGAGAATTCAAAGAAATACAAAATAATTTTTCGTACTCGAGTAGGTTACAATTCACTGGATCACCTTCCCCTATCACCACCACAATATGATGCCATTAAGGACGGTAACTTACTCTATTCTACTATCTCTTTGGGAGAGATTTCTCCGATACTGTCTTCCAATCAATATCTTCCTCCTCATCTTCCAATTGGGAAATGAAATATGGACATAAGGAAATGATAAATGGTCCCAAAAGTATGTGAAAAATAAAGAGCAAAGTAAAGGCCAGGGTACATTTGTACTCTTAGTAACAAACAGGCTTTACCACAGAGAGAAGGAAGTAAAAATGAACTCTTGATCCCATTTTATGACTAAAGTCCTATGAAAGATAAGGCTTTCCTCTTCTGTTTGGATTTTTCACAATTTCAGAGGCGGCCATTTCATCTTGAAATGGCAACAGCTGACAAAAAACACTTGGCGTGGTTGTTTTTAATTTTAAACTGATTTTGTGCAACCCTCAAAGTTTCACTCCTTGGTTCTGGTCAACCCTTTGAAGTGATACTGAGCAAATCAAATCCTTCTGCCATGGGACATTCTTTTTTTTTTTTTTTAATGTTTATTTTGAGAGAGAGGGAGAGAGAGAGCATGGGGTGTCGCAGAGAGAGAGAGAGAGAGAGAGAGAGAGAGAGAGAGAGAGAGAAAATCCCTCTGTGCTGATGGCACAGAGCCTGATGCGGGGCTCGAACCCACAAACTGTGAGATCATGACCTGAGCTGAAACCAAGAGTTGGATGCTTAACCTACTGAGCCACCCAGCTGCCCCTGGCATGGGACATTCTTGAAATATTTGAAGGGAACAATCTCCTATCTCCCCTGAATCTTATCTTCTATAGGTAAGCCTCTCTAGCTCCTTCAGTTGTACTTCAAATGGTAGGTACATTTTCAAATCCCTGAACCATTCTTGTCTCTCTCCTTTTCATGCACTCCAGTTTCACTTGTAAAATATGTCTTTGGGTATGGGCTGACCAGTTTAGAGAAGAACAGTTGTAAATTCTAGGATATTACAATTCTTTAATGATGCTAGATATAATTAGGCCGTTTAGAAGCCATATCATTCTCCTGATTCATGTTGAGCCTACTATCCCAAATCCTAAAGTTTTTTCTCATGTTCTCCTGGCCAAAACTGAAACAGGGGATGTTAAAGGGGGAAAGTAAGAATTTGAGAGGTTGAATCTTATACATTCTGGACTAGTCTTTAACCAGGTCTTAATTTTTGGCTGAAATCAATCACACCATTTCTATATTTGCTTTTCTCTATAATGACTTTTGCTTCACAAATCTATATCTATATCTATATCTATATATCTATATATCTATATATCTATATATCTATATATCTATATATCTATATATCTATATATCTATATCAGTTGTCTAAAATATAGATGAGTGGATTCTAGTCTGGAGTGCACATTGGAATCAACTGAGGAACACTTTCTTAGCGATCTATGTCTGGCCTACCCCAGACTTTTAAAATAAACATCACCAGGCAAAGCATGCCTATTTTGGGCAAGATTTTCCAGGAGATGCCAATATATGTCTATGGTTATAAATTATTACTTTATATTCACTCAAGAATAATTTTTGAGCACTAATTTTATGCCAGGCACTATTACAGTTATACATACTTTCTACCTATTTAAAAGCAAGAACATAAACATAATTAAACATACCATTAAGTAATTAGTCAACTTGTCTGGTCACTTACCTTTAAATACTTGAGTGACCCAGCGTCCTTGGAGCTCTGAAATCGGCATAATGGCACCCAAAGGCTGGATCAAGCCTATGATTGCAAGAGTTGGCTTTTCCAGGTTAGGAGGGAAGACATTTTTATATAGGGATATCTTGTTTTTGACTACTTGAACAGAATCTTCAAGAAAAGGAAAGGCAAAAGTATAGCCTGTGGCAAAGATAACAGCATCAATGTCATCCTCCCTGGAACCATCTTCAAATAGGGCGGCTGTCTCTGTGAACTCCTTCACATTTCCTTTCACCTTCACCAAGCCAGAAATTATACGATTTGGCAGTTCATCATTCACTGTTGGATGCTGACTCAGAGCTCTGTGAGTGGTGATAAAGATCAAAAGGAGAAATGAGAGTGAGATAGAATGTTAGTAACATGTAAGTAAAATTCTACTTTGATGGAAGTAGTTAATATGTCAATGGTCTCTCTCTTGGTCTATCCATGAAATGTGGGAAAGGTCTAACATATACCAGCTTGGAACAGATCTGGATCTCAGAGCAGAAGTTGGGCCCTAGATGGCACTGAAAGAGAAGACATTGAAGAAGTAAAAGAAAAATGGTCTTATTTGAAGAGTGTATCTATGGTTTCTCAAGGAATAGTAATATTTTCAGTGATATGAAATGGCCACAGGCCTATAGTTTCTATCCATATGTCAATAGGTCTATAAGACTGGACTATCAGCGTTCTTTTGAGTCTCATTTCCACTTTCAAACCACCATGAGCTAGAATTAGACCATCATTTTGCAAGCTGTATAATAAATTACATGTATTTAGCAATTTGTAAATGGATTCTATATACACTCATTTATTTGAGTCTTACATAAACTCAGTGAAAGACCCAGCACAGGGGTCATTATCCAGGTTTTAGAGATGAGGAAATTGAGGCCTAAAGAAGTTAAATGACTTACCCAAGGTTACACAGTCTAGGATTTGAAAATTTATATCAAAAAAAAATTTTTTTTTATGAATTCTCTTGGGATCCCCTGGGCCTGCCTGTTAAGTAATATTTCCTAGAAACAGCATTTATCTTTCTCTCCAAACTTATTCCTTTTCACAAATAGTACCACAATCCACGTAGTTTTCCAAGCCACAAAACTGTGAGTCTTCTATCTGTTCACATGGGCTTTCCCTTTCTCCTCTTAATATCCTCAGAATAGTTTTATCTATTCTCTGTGTTACCTGGACTGTTACAAGGGCCTCCTTCTCCATTCCCCTTCAGTTATCTTCTACATCATTTTTGGAGTAGTTGTTCCAAAATGTATTTATTATTAGGTTACTCACTTGTTTAAAATCTTTCAATGGCTCTGGACTGTCTTCGCTTCAAAAGTTTTATTTAGCAGAGGATACACAGGTTTTAATGTACCTGTTCAGTGAGGCTGGAGAGGTACTCAATCACTCTTTGATCTTTGCCATTTTATTATAGTCCAGCCAAACCAGGCTACGTGCAAGTCCAAGAGCAAGATGTATTTTTCATTATTCTAAGACCTTGTACTTAAGAATGCTACTTCCTGGGGCGCCTGGGTGGCGCAGTCGGTTAAGCGTCCGACTTCAGCCAGGTCACGATCTCGCGGTCCGTGAGTTCGAGCCCCGCGTCGGGCTCTGGGCTGATGGCTCAGAGCCTGGAGCCTGTTTCTGATTCTGTGTCTCCCTCTCTCTCTGCCCCTCACCCATTCATGCTCTGTCTCTCTCTGTCCCAAAAATAAATAAACGTTGGGAAAAAAAAATTAAAAAAAAAAAAAAAAGAATGCTACTTCCTTACCCTATTTGCTTGACTATCTCTTATTGTTCTAAAACCCCAATTCATTTTGTAATCACTGAAGTCATGGATGCTACAGTTTCCATAATTGGGTGAAATAAATGAGTGAAAAGTTGTTGAAGAACATAGTCTCAAACTATCACCCGACTGATTAATTTCAAAGGAAGAAAATCTTTACAAAGGAGAAACCTGGTAGGTGCCACCTTATTCAAGGGATCAAATTTAACATCATTAATACAGGATAAACTGATGTCATGTGGCTCCTGGTGTGATCTACCAAGAAGGCAAAACCTGTAAATATTTGTAGCAAAGATGTTTCACCTGAATATAATAGTAAAGGTGGAACTATGCAAGTCCGAATTTTGAGACTTTTTATAAAACAAGTGGCTCGATTCTTTTAAAAAAATGTATGTCAAAAAATGGTGAATTATTTCAATTGAAGAGATTAAAGAGATATGACAATAAAATGCAATGGGGTAATGGGAATGCAAGCTGGTGAAGCTACTCTGGAAAACATTATGGAGGTTCCTCAAAAAGCTAAAAATAGAACTACCCTACGACCCAGAAATTGCACTACAAGGTATTTATCCAGAGGATATGGGTATGCTGTTTCAAAGGGACACGTGCACCCCAATATTTATAGCAGCACTATCAACAATAGCCAAAGTATGGAAAGAGCCCAAATGTCCATCGACGGATGAATGGATAAAGAAGATGTGGTATATATATACAATGGAGTATTACTCGGCAATCAAAAAGAACGAAATCTTGCCATTTGCAATTATGTGGATGGAACTGGAGGGTATTATGCTAAGTGGAGTTAGTCAGAGAAAGACAAAAATCATATGACTTCACACATATAAGGACTTTAAGACACAGAACAGATGAACACAAGGAAAGGGAAGCAAAAATAATATAAAAACAGGGAGGGGGACAAAACATAGAGATTCTTAAACATGGAGAACAAACCGGGTTACTGGAGGGGCTGTGGGGGGGGATAAATGGGTAAGGGGCACTAAGGAATCTACTCCTGAAATTATTGTTGCACTATATGCTAACTAATTTGGATGTAAATTTTAAAAAATAAAAAATAAAATTAAAAAAAATAAACCCACACTTACGTGATCAATTAATCTGTAACAAAGGAGGCAAGAATCTGAAATGGGGAAGAGACAGTCTCTTCAACAAATGGTACTGGGAAATTTGGACAACTACATGCAAAAGAATGAAACTGCACCACTTTCTTATATCATAAACATAAACTTAAAGACCTAAATGTGAGACCTGAAACCATAAGTGTCATAGTAGAAAACATGGACAGTAATCTCTTCGACAGTCTTAGCAACATTTTTCTAGATAGGTTCCACAGGCAAGGAAACAAAAGCAAAAATAAAGTTTTGGGACTACACCAAAATAAGAAACTTTTGCGCAGTGAAAGAAATCATCAACAAAATTAAAAAGCAACCTACTGAATGGGAAGATATACTCATAAATGACATATCCAATAAAAGAATAAAATCTAAAATATGGAAAGGACGTCTATGACTCAACATTAAAACAAAAACAAAAAATTTTTAATTAAAATTAAATTAAAAATTATTTTAAAAGGCAGGAACCTGAAACAATTGTTTTACACAATGTATAAGTAGGAAGAATTTCAGGAGCAGCATGGTATGATCAATTGCTATTTAAAATATAATTTAATGTTTAATGTTTTATTTTAATATAATTTAATGTTATAATTTATTTTCATGTTAATATAATGTTGCACAAATATATATGCAATGCTGTATATTTAGATATGAATGGGGGTGGGGAGGAGCCTGGGAATCTAATGTCAACGTGTGGGGTGTAATAAATAAATAAAACTTGAAAGTTAAAAAAAAAATGCAGTGGGGTAATACCTGAAAGGATCCTGGATTTAAAAATAAAAGAGCTATAAATAGTATTATTGGGACAATTTAGGAAATTTGAATGTGATACATTAGATAATAGTATTTTATTAATGCTGAACTTCCCATGTGATCATGTATTATGTTTATGTAGGAGAATGCCCTATTTCTTAGGCAATATATGCTAAAGAATGTAGGGTAAAGTGTGTTAGAGTGGCTGTAACTTACTCTCAAATGGTTCAGGAAAGAATATGTAGTATTCATCTATGGATGGATGGATGGATGTGATATAATCAGATGGATAGATGGGATTTACCTATCTTCAGAGAAAGGGAGAGAGAGAAAGCAAATATAGCAAACTGTTACTAACAGGTGAATCTAAGTGAAAGGTGTATGGGTGCTCATTGTACTTACTATTTTGTAGGAAGTAAATCTGAGCATTTAAAAGGATAAAAAATTGGAGGGAATATATCAAACTCAACACCCAAAAAACAAATAATCCAGTGAAGAAATAGGCGAAAGACATGAATAGACGCTTCTTCAAAGAAGACATCCAGATGGCCAACCGACACATGAAAAAATTCTCAACATCACTCATCATGAGGGAAATACAAATAAAAACTATGAGAAACCACCTCACACCTGTCAGAATGGCTAACATTAACAACTCAGGCAACAACAGATGTTGGCGAGGATGCGGAGAAAGAGGATCTCTTTTGCACTGCTGGTGGGAATGCAAACTGGTGCAGCTACTCTGGAAAACAGTATGGAGGTTCCTCAAAAAGCTAAAAATAGAACTACCCTACGACCCAGAAATTGCACTACAAGGTATTTATCCAAAGGATATGGGTATGCTGTTTCAAAGGGACACATGCACCCCGATATTTATAGCAGCACTATCAACAATAGCCAAAGTATGGAAAGAGCCCAAATGTCCACTGATGGATGAATGGATAAAGAAGATGTAGTACATATATACAATGGAGTATTACTTGGCAATCAGAATGAAATCTTGCCATTTGCAACTACGTGGATGGAACTAGAGGGTATTATGCTAAGTGAAATTAGTCAGAGAAAGACAAATATCATATGACTTCACTCATATGAGGACTTTAAGATACAAAACAGATGAACATGAGGGAAGGAAGCAAAAATAATATAAAAACAGGGAGGGGGACAAAACATAAGAGACTCTTAAATATGGAGAACAAACAGGGTTACTGGAGGGGTGGTGGGAGGGGTTGTGGGAGGGGAATGGGTTAAATGGGTGAGGGGCTTAAGGAATCTACTCCTGAAATCATTGTTGCACTATATGCTAACTAACTTGGATATAAATTAAAAAAAAAATAAATTTAAAAAATTGGAGGGAATAAAGCATTCAAAATCAGCTTCTAGAAATGCTTTCATAGTCTCCCTCCTTGACTGTGTGGACTCCCATCCTTCATACCCCCATAGCACTCCATGCATTCATCATATTCTATTGTCTGTCTCCTCCTTAGAGTATTTAAGGTAAAATCCATTTTTAGAGTCTGACATTTATTGTGTGACCTCAGACAAATTAGTTTCTCTAAGTGTCAATTTTTATAACTGCAAAATGGAAATGAAAAATAGTACTAACCTTTAGGGTTGTAATGAGGATTAAATGAGATAATGTATTTAACTCCAGTCTAGCACTGTGCTTGTCTTATATTAAGTCCTCAAAAATAAAGTGTTGTTATTTTATTAGCATTACTATTAGGTCTTTAGTCTCTGTGTTCTCGTGCCCAGTATAATGCTTGGCTCATTACGCGTGTTCAGTATTTGTTGGATAAATGAATGAACACTGCTCTCTGCTCCCATTTTGTTGTTTTTACTGGGCATCATGTAAAAAGAACTTGTGGGGTGCCTGGGTGGCTCAGTGGGTTAAGCATCCACCTTCAGCTCAGGTCATGATCTCATGGTTCGTGAGTTCGTGCCCTGCGTTTGGCTCTGTGCTGACAGTTCAGAGCCTGGAACCTGCTTTGGATTCTGGGTCTCCCTCTCCCTCTGCCACTCCCCTGCTCGCTCTCTCTCTCTCTCTCTCTCTCTCTCAAAAATAAAATAAAACCTTAAAAAAATTAAAAAGAAGTTGTATCTGAGGAAATAATAAAATGGTTAAGGTCATGGAGAGTCATAGCTTGAAGATTACAGATGAGTAGATCTTGGACTCCTATGAGGGCAAAATAGAAATCTGATCTCAGATCTGTGGATTTTCTTTCTTTTTCTTTTTCTTCTTTTTAGGAATCTTTGCACTCAACGTGGGCCTCAAACGCACAAAACCCTGAGATTAAGAGTTGCATGCTCTTCCAACTGAGCCAGCCAGGTGCCCCACAGATCTGTGGGTTTTCTTAATGTATGGGTAGGAGTAGTTCTGTTAACCTGTGCCAACAGTCCTTGTTCTTGTGCCTTGGCTATTACTGCCCCACCCCCATCCTGGTAACATACCTGTGTTTAGGCTTTAGGCCAAACATTTCATGGTCAAACCTTTGGTTCATCTTTTTCTCCAAAAAATTGTTTGCTAATGATTGACCACAGATCTTCAAAAGAAAATGTTTAAATCGAGAAGAGACTAACACATCAAGGGGATATCCATAGTCTGCTACACGATTCAGGACCCAAGATCCTCTCCTGGTGCTGAGGAAAACCTGGGGCATGGAAAAAAAAATGGTTTGCTTTTGCCATTCTCTGGCTCATAATCCTTTGATAGCACCTGCTCTCTTCAAGATTAAGTCCAGACTCATTCATCTCTCTTTTTAGTCCCTGCACGATCTTTGTTTTATTTTCTGCAGTTTTCCTTCTCAAACACTATGTGTACAATTAGATTAGGGCATTCACTAAGAATGTGTCTTGCTCTGAACCACCACTGCATTTCTGCTTAATGGCATTATGCCTCCTTGAAAAGTCGCCTATCCTCTTAATTCTCCAAAGCCTATTTATTGTTAAGATCCAGATCAAGTCTGCCTCCTCCATAAGACACTACTGACCATTCTGGCTGACAATTTTCTCTCCATCCTCTGAGCTACTCTAGCACTTACCACTTGTCAACTCATTTAAAATTATGGAGCAGTTGAGCTGAAATCAATTGCACATCATTTAATCCAAAACCTTCAGCCTTTTTTGCCTTTGACATTGTTAGCACTATTACCAACACAAAACAAAACACCCCCCAAAACCCCAAAACAAACCCACACCTGTTATTTATCATTTATATCCATATTAAACTTTTTACACTCATTTCTGTCTCTCCAAATGTGTTTCCTCCACGGTGGGGGGGGTCTAGCATACACATCTTCTAGTCTCCCCAACATATCATCCTCATTGTTTCCATTTATTGTTTCCATTTATTGAGCATTATGACCTGTAAGTGATTGTGCCAGGGCCTTTATCTATATTTTATTTAATCAATACAACAGTCCCTTGAGGTAGTTCTTCTTATCCTCATTTTATGCATGAGAAGATGAATAACTTGCCTGAGATCATACAGCTAGTAAATGGAAGGGCTGAATATCCAACTCAGGTCTGAGTCACCCCAAATCCTGTGCTGCTGAAGAATTGTTTCACTGACTGCTTAAAGGAAAAACTGTAGATCGCTAATCAAACAACAGGAAGCTGATAAAGTTTTGATATTAGTTACTTGGCAAAAGTACCTCCTTCTCTACAAGACTTTCTGGGGATGTAATTACCTGCTTTATGGTCTTTTGTCTAAGCTCTTCCATAAAACGGTGACCTGTCTACAGAGGGATGATAATGTACTTTACACATACCTTCTCACTGATGGTAACCGCATGGGCTCTCATTATTGAGCACTTTGACATATCATAGTCTAAGTATGCATGGTCCTAGGAATCACACAGCTTTATGTGCAGTCTGTATAACTTTTGTTATAAAAGTATATGAGTCCTATAAATGCTCAGAGTCTCAATTAAAAGGCTCCCTACATACAAAATTGTGACAATAATACATCGCAAGGCTGTTGTCAGAATTAGTGTTTTTGCAAAGGGTGTGGCATATGGTAAACATTCAATAAATGCTTAATGGTTATCATCATACTTCTTATTTCAGTTTTCTATCTATACCTTGTTTTAACACCATATTTATAAGAAAAAATGGATTTATAAGAAAAAAATGTGAGGAGAGTTGTTTTATAAGAAACAGATATGTTCTCTTCACAAAAGCATTATACCACAAGAATTATTATACCAAAACTTCCTTGATATACTGAAACTTACAGATCCACTTAAATTTTTTGATTTACAAACAAATTCTAATAAATACAATTTAATACATAAAGCAAAAAGTTAGAACCTGGCAAGTGAGTGTCTTTGGCTTGCTTTGTGGGATGTCGGCACTGCCCCTGCCACGCAGACATGGTTTTGCTGTGCATTGTCCCGGCCTTTCTCAGACACAGCCACCTTACCTCCACCCGCTCTAGATGCTTTGTTCTTTGGCAATCTACAGTTCCTCAGTGCATGGAAGTCTCAGCGCCCTTATAACTGACCATTCAACGTGTTTGGATCCCTACCATATCCTTGCACAATCTTTCATCATTACACCTACACACATTTTAACCCTTTTTTTAATACCAATTTCCTGATAAAGCTTGTTGAATTGATGCATGGAATAACATATGAAATTACTTTTGTGGTGATGGATGGGGATAATACTGAGAAGTGTTATTGAATGGAGTTTCTGAGTAAAGGTCACTTAACAAAGTTGCAGCATTAAACTTCTATTGAAAAATAGTAATTTAAAACATATTTGTGGAGAAACACAGCTTAATTAAAGTTACTAGAAAACAACCAGACATTCCCCTATTGCCAATAAAGTTATGATTCAATAAAGACACGAATAACAAAATGTAACAATGACACATCTTTTTCTAGGAATTTACAATGAAGGCACTCTCTTCCTAGTTCAAAATCTATGATAAAAAAACAAAACAAAACAAAACAAAACAAAAAAGACCTCTAGGACATAGAAATTGCTTTAGGGTGAATGTCCTTCTATTACTGAACTGTATGCAGAGCTGAGGTGAACTTGCATGTACTACAGCGTGGATGCTTTCCATACTGATATCCACGTTATCTTCGGAAAGATTAGACTGCTTCTTTTTTTCCATTTGGGGAGAGGAGAGGAAAATTCCCCCACCATCCTATGAGCACAAAGCCTTCAGCTAAACCAGTGTGCTTTCCTTCACGTAAGACTGTGGCACTTCTGCTGTCCTAAACAAGAGCCACACTCTGAAGGCTGCATTTGACCAAACTCCCCAAGGAACTGCATGGTCTTTAAAGTCAGAGGCACATTCAGAAGAGACAGCTGATTGGGATCACTGGGATTCTTTAGTGTGAGGTCAGCTGAATGATGGGAATCTAACAGGGAATGTTGGCTCCCTCATATCATCAACATAATGTTGCCAACTGAGGTCACAGAGCCAAGCCCTGTGTTTGCTGCTATATGGGCTATATGAAGAGGTATTTATACTCCATGTTGGGTCCACATACAGCTTCTTTGGTGAAGCAAAGTAATTTACTGATTCAAACCTGCTTGGCTGTGTGGGAAATTTCCACAGCCAGATCCCCTCCAGAATTTCCAATGCCAATTACAATGACTCTCTTTCCAGTGAAACTCTCTGGATTCTTATAGTCCCGGCTATGGAAGTACTGTCCTTTGAACTTCTCAATTCCTGCAAGGGAAGGGAAAAGAATTATCCAATGAGGTTTATCTGCTATCATTTGTCAAATCATTCATTCTGTTAGCGGTGTGTAGAGTTTAAGCACACATCTCCACATAGTCTCCCTTTACACAGCTGCACTCTTGCCTTCTGAATATATTTGCCTATTTTCTTTTCTCACAGTCTCAGAGCAGAATCTTGTGATTTCCTTATCATGAATAGTTGGCTTAACTCAGGATCTGTTTATATTTTGGACTTGTGGACTCCCAAATCCAAACTCCTTCAGAAAATCTCCATTACCTTTTATCTTTTCATCCTCTTTAAATACCTACTTTTGGGGTGCCTGGGTGGCTCAGTTGGTTAAGCCAACTGACTTGATTTCCCTCAGGTCATGATCTCACGGTTTGCAGATCAAGCCCTGAGTCAGGCTGTTCCATGCCGAGGGTGAGGAACCTGCTTGGGGCTCTCTCTCTCCCTCTCCCTCTCCCTCTGCCCCTCCCCTGTTCCTGTGTGCACACACACATGCTCGGGTGCACTCTCTCTCTCTCTTTCTGTCTCAAAAGAAATAAACTTAAAATTAAATTAAACACATCCATTTCAATTGGAGTTTATATGTTTTCATATACTCTAGAATATAATAAATAGAGTGCTTTGTTTTTTTCAAAATGAAAATCCAGGTCAAAGACTATAATTCTTTCTTGAAGTTTTAATTTCTTCCTTAGAAACTCAGTATTCATTTGTTCCCTCAATTGCTGAAAAATCCTTCAACCTTCAAGTTCATGTTCTTTCTTTTGATCCTTAGAAAAACTAAGGTTGTTGTGAAACCAAAGATAGAGCCTTCTAATTTTTCTCTAGTCCCCGAAAATGTTATTTCTGCCTCCCAAATGGCAATAATCAAAGTCACCCCAACATCTTTTAGGGGAACATGTAGAATTATTATAAGCCCTTTTTTCATCCCAAGGTAGGAATCACTTAGACCACCATTTTCCCATTCCTCAGAGATCAATCACGGGCATGGCACACAGGCTTCCCTCCTTGTAGACTACTCACCAGGGAAGCTTTCCAAGGGTAAGTGAGCATTGGTGTGATGGCCGGTGCAAACCATGACTCCATCAAAGACATTTACCTCCTTTTCCCCTTCAGATTCTGTAACTACCTCCCATTGGCCTGAAGTGGAGAAATCAGGCTGCTTCTTCACACTGCACACAGTGGTCTGAAAGAAAAGTGATAGCTACGGGAGACTGTAACCATAGCCTGTACAGTGGACATCTTCCCTGACATGTCTCTCTTTGCAGGGTATTAACACATATGATATCACATATGATGTCACAAGTATGATATCACATAATAGAGCTAATGCAGGAATATTTAATTTTCATATTTCACAAATAAGAACTTTTTTGTTTGGGGCTGGGGTCAGCGTGAGAAAACTCCCGTGAGGCAGGCTAAATAAAATGGCAGGATAATGCCGCACTCTCCCCTGCTTCTAGAAAAGTGCAAATTACTAGTTCTCTTAGACCAGTACCTAACATGTCATGCGACACTCGAATAGAACTTCGGCCTCCCCAGTGCTTCTGAGACACCTCATGTATTAAGTGCCTATTCCTCCCCTGACCTCCAGACAAGTCCTATTTGAAAGTTGTTGAGGGGTGCCTGGGTAGCTCTGGGGCACCTGGGCGGCTCAGTCAGTTAAGTGTCTGATTTCTGTGCAGGTCATGATCTTGCAGTTCGTGAGTTCAAGCCCTGCGTCAGGCTCTGTGCTGACAGCTCAGAGCCTGGAGCCTGCTTCGGATTCTGTGTCTCCCTCTCTCTCTGCCCCTCCCCTGCTCATGCTCAGTCTCTCTCTGTCTCAAAAATAAATAAAACACTAAAAAAAAAAAATTAAAAAAAAAAGTTGTTGAGAGAGTAGATCCAAATAGTTCTCATCACAGGGGGAAACAAAAAGGTAGAAGATTTAGGCTTTTTGCCAGTTGTCAGAAATAGCTGTGTTGTTGTTGTTGTTGTTTTGTTTTTTATGGCCATGGTTAAGGATGACAGAAAAATCATGGAAGACTTAACAGTAAGGAACCATTGGAGTGATCTAGTACAACCATCTTGTTTTACAAACAAGAACATTTTTACAAACAAGAGACATCAAAGTTTAGGAACTTACTTGCCTGAGGTCACAAGTTGATTAGTGGTAGAGCAAAGACTAGGACTCAAATTTTCATTCCCCATTTCAGTGTTCTTTCTTCTACACCAGAGTTAACTTCTTGGCTTCCTCAATAAGTTCCCGATAACTGCTTCACTGGGTTGTTGTGATCACATAAAACTAATGCATTGGCAAGTACTTCAGAAAGTATAAAAGGCTAAGCAGTAGCAGGTAAGTTGTGGCGGACTGAGAAGGTTTTAAGTTCCCATATCTGTCAGTTCCCCTCTCTAACCGGGAAAACATTTCCCCTCATTTGTTTTATTGCAATTAAATAGTATAAAATGAAGGAATGGAACCATTGTGGCAGGTGGCTTCCAAGATCTGAAGCCCAAAATATACAGAAAAAGGACCTCTCCATGGATATATTTCAGGCACAGAGAAGACATAAGAATAGAGTTGTTGTCTGGATAGGATAGATACATGGGCATATTAAGCCAGTCTTTACTTGTAAACACTGGTAAATGAAACCACATTATTCATTTATTTGACAACTTCAAACACAAAGACACTCACAAAATTTCCTACCTTGAATCGAATATATTTTAGAAGATCAAATTCTTTGGCATACATCCTGAAATACTCCAGGACCTGGGAGTTGTGCATGAAGTTAGGATAATGATCTGGGATGGGATAGTCACTGAAGCACATCATCTCCTTAGAAGTGTTGATGATCACTGATTTGTAAATGCTGGCCCTTCCTTCTTCAGGATTTTCCTACAGTAAATAAGAAGCATTCATAGCAACTTGAGAATTAACTTTATGGTTTATAAACAGTCACTAAACATTTGAAAAAGTTTCTGAAAGAAATGCCAGTGAAAAAGTTATACAGACACATAACATCCCTTCACATCTCCAGGTATTTGTGCCCTTGGGTAGTCTCTTCCCCTTGAATCTGAGTGGTCTCTATTACTTGCTTTTGACCAACAGCATGAAGTTGGAATGATACCCAATAGCTTCCAAGACAATCCTAAGGAGTCTTGCAGCTTTTGCCCTCTGTCTCTTAGAAAGCTTGATCTGGCAGGAGTCAGCAGTTATGTAAGAAGTCCAACTACCTTAAGCCACCATTCTGTGAGTAAGCCCAAGTCAGCCACATGAAGAGAATGTTTGGGAAACAGAGATATGCAGCTAGCCCTTGGAAATTCCATTTATCCCAGCTGAAGTTCTAAATATGTGAGTGAAGAGACCATAGCAGAAAATGAATTTGGAGACATCTAAACTATAATTTTCTTTAAAAAAAATTTTTTTAATGTTTATTTATATTTGAGAGAGAGACAGAGAGAGAGAAAGAGAAAGAATGTGAGCAGGGGAGGGGCAGAGAGAGACGGAGACAGAACCTGAAGCAGGTTCCAGGCTCTAAGCTGTCAGCACAGAGCCTGACGTGGGGCTCGGACCCATGAGCCATGAGATCATGACCTGAGTTGAAGTCGCACACTTAACCAACTGAGCCACCCAGATGCCCCTAAACTATAATTTTCAAATCTATGTAGGAACACTGAAAATGGCCTATGATACAATTTCTAGTTAAAAAGGTAATATTACAAAATTAAATTCACATTCTCACCACCAAATGCATAAAACTATGTATGCATAGGGCAATTGTATACCTATGTCTACCCACATTTATATAATTATACATTGTATAAGTTTTCTCCTGTTAGGTAGTTCTCTCTGAATATATTTCACTTATTTATTTTTAATTTTTGTAATGTTTATTAATTTTTGATACAGAGACAGCACAAGCAGGGGAGGGGCAGAGAGAGAGGGAGACACAGAATCGGAAGCAGGCTCCAGGCTCTGCTGTCAGCACAGACAGGGATGTGCTGCCCAGCACGACGCAGGGCTCTAACTCACTGACCGCGAGCTCATGACCTGAGCTGAAGTCAGACACTCAAACGACTGAGCCTCCCAGTGCCCCTATTTCATTTATTTTTAAGTCAGTATGGCCTGAAAATAGGAAAAACAAGTTGATTTACGAAGGAGGTAGTATTTTTTTCTTCTGTTTTTGTGAAATGTTGTTTATATAACGCCCGTACATGACTTTAAAAAAAAAAGCCTTCAGCAAACTAAGAGAAAATTTCTTCAATTTGATAAAAACAACTGACAAAATACCTACAGCTAACTTCATAACTTAATAGTGAGAAAATGGACAATTTCCCCCTACAATTGGGAACAAGGCAAAGATGTCCTCTCTCACCACTCATGTTCAACACTATACTAGAAATCCTAGTTGGTGCAATAAGACAGGAAAAGGAAATAGCGGCTGTACCAGATTGCATTCCCACTAACAATGCAAGAAGGTTCCCCTTTGTCCACATCTTCACCAGCACCTGTTGTTTCTTGTGTTGTTGATTTTAGCCATTCTGACAAGTGTGACGTGATATCTCGTGTAGTCTTCATTTGTGTTTCTCTGATTATAAGTGATGTTGAGCATCTTTTCATGTGTCTGTTGGCTATCTGTATGTCTTCCTTGGAAAATGTCTATTCATGTCTTTTGTCCATTTTGAAATTGGATTGTTTTTTGGATGTTGAATTTTATAAGTTCTTTATATATTTTGGATACTAGCCCTTTATCAGATATGTCATCTGCAGATATCTTCTTCCATTCTGAAGGTTGCCTTTTAGTTTTCTTGATTGTTTCCTTTGCTGTGCAGAAGCTTTTTATTTTCATGAGGTCCCCAGAGTTTATTTTTGCTTTTGTTTCCCTTGCCTTAGAAGACATATCTAGAAAGAAGTTTCTATGGCTGATGTCAAAGAGGTTACTGCTCATGTTCTCCTCTAGGATTTTTATGGTTTTATGTCTCACATTTAGGTCTTTAATTCATTTTGAAATTTTTTCTTTAAAAAAATTCTTTTTAAACATTTATTCATTTTTTAGAGTGAGAGAGACAGAGCATGAGCCGGGGAGGGGCAGAGACAGAGGGAGACACAGAATCAGAAGCAGGCTCCAGGCTCCGAGCTGTCAGCACAGGGCCTGACGCAAGGCTCGAACTCACGAACTGTGAGATCATGACCTGAGCTGAAGTCGGACACTCAACTGACTGAGCCACCCAGGCACCCCTTGAATTTATTTGTCTGTGTGGTATAAGAAAGTGGTCCATTTTAATTCTTTTGCACGTTGCTGCCCAGTTTTCCCAGCACCATTTTTGAAGAGACTTTTTCCTGTTGGATATTCTTTCCTGCTTTGTCAAACATTAATTGACCATATAGTTGTGGGTTCCCTTCTGGTTTTTCTATTTTGTTCTATTGATCCATATGTCTGTTTTTGTAGCAGTACCATACTATTTGGATCACTATATATATAATATATATATATCATATATATATTATATATATATATTATATTCAATATAACTTGAAGTCTGGAATTGTGATGCCTCCATTTTTGCTTTTCTTTTTCAAGATTGCTTTAGCTATTTGGGGAAAATAGTATGGAGGTTCCAATAAAGTTCCAATAATAGTTAAATAGAACTATCCTATGATACAGCAATTGCACTACTGGGTACTTATCCAAAGAATACAAAAATACTAATTCAAAGGGATACATGCACCCCAATGTTTACAGGAATGTTATCTACAGTAGCCAAACTATGGAAATAGCCCAAGTGTTCATAGACTGATGAATGGATAAAGAAAGTATGGTATGTATGTGTGTACACACACACACACACACACACACACACACACACACACATATTGGAATAATAACCATAAAAAGAATGAAATCTTGCCATTTGCAACAATGTGGATGGAGATAGAGAGTATTATGCTAAGTCATAATGACATAATCAAAGAAGTCAGAGAAAGACAAATGCCATATGATTTAACTCGTATGTGGAATTTAAGAAACAAAACAAACAAGCAAAGGGGAAAAAAAGAGAGGTAAACCAAGAAACAGATTCTTAACTACAGAGAACAAATGATGGTTACCAGAGAAAAGGTGGGTAGGGTGATGGGTTAAATAGGTGATGGGGATTAAGGAGTGTACTTGTCATGATGAGCAATGGGTGTTTTATGGACGTGTTGAATCACTATATTGTTTACCTGAAAGTAATATTACACTGTATGTTAACTAACTGGAATATAAATAAAAACATAATAAATAAACAAAAATAAATAAAGTGGCATTAAAGCAAAAAAAAAAAAAAAGGAAAGGAAATAAAAGTATACAGATTGGGATGAAGAAATAAAACTATTTTTATCCATAGGTGGCATCACTGTTTATGTAGAAAATCCCAATGGATTAAAAAAACAGAAAAAAACCCACAACAACCTGGAACTAATAAGCAAGTATAGCAGGGTTGGAGGATATAAGGTTAATATACAAAGCCAATTACTTTCCTATATGCCAGAAATGAGTGATTGGATTTAAATTTACAAAAAAAATACTATTTACAATTGGACCCACAAAATTAAATACTTAGTCATGAATCTAATAAAATATGTGTAAGACTTATATGCAGAAACTATAAAACACAGATGAAAAAAATCAAAGTTCTAAATAAGTAGAAAGATCTTCGGTGCTTGTAGATTGAAGGACTCAACATTGTTAAGATATCAGTTCTTCTCAAGGTGATCTATAGGTTCAGTGCAATCCCAACCAACATCCCAGCAAGCTATTTTGTAGACAGTGACAACTTGATACTAAAGTTTATATTGAAAGACAAAAGGCCTAGAAAAGCCAACTTTGTTCTTAAGTGTATACTGTGCATAGTGACTTTCTTTCAAAGAGTAGAGTATGGGAAGGAGTGTATAGTATGGCAAGGGAGAAAAAAGACGAGGGACTTTACAGTGGCAAAATCTGACAAACACAAGGTCATCAAGGTTAACATCAATAGTGGTAAGTCATATTGAGAGTACATACTACTGATGTGATACGATGAGAATGTTACTTTACCTTTATGGTCTTCTTCCCCCAAATCCATAGCCGCAGTCTAACGGTGACAAAAACATCAGGCAAATCCTGACTGAGGGACATTCTATAAAATAACTAATAATCCTCAAAACTGTCAAGGTCATCAAAACAAGGGAAGCTGATAGGGTGCCTAGGTGGCTCAGTGGGTTAAGCGTCCGACTTCAGCTCAGGTCATGCTCTCATGGTTTGTGATTTGAAGCCTCGTGTAGAGCTCTGTGCTGACAGTGTGGAGCCTGCTTGAGATTCCCTCTCTCCCTCTCTCTGTGTGCCTGCCCTGCTCATGGGAACCCATGTGCATGCACTATCTCTCTCTGTCTTTCAAAATAAATAAATAAACATTTAAAAAAAGGTACAATGTCATCCTCATTTATCACCTGAGAAAGCTGGGGTAAAAACTATAGGGAAAAGGTCTCCACATCAATTGCAATGAGAAATAAGTAATGGAGACCTTTATTGAGACCACAGACCAATAAAAGAAGAATCTCTGGATGCACTGACATCAGTATTTGTTAAAGTTTCCCAGGTAACTCTTCACAGTACAGCCACTGCTGAGCACCACTGCTCTATACCCTCTTTGAAGTGCTTCTGTATTCATTCGTCTTTTTTTTTTTTTTTTGGTGGGAAGAGAGTTAATAAATTTAAGAATTATTTATTTATTTATTTTTTAATATTTATTTTTGTGAAAGAGAGAGATAGAGCGCAAGCAAGGTAGGGGCAGAGAGAGAGGGAGACACAGAATCTGAAGCAGCCTTCAGGCTCTGAGCTGTCAGCACAGAGCCTGATACAGGGCTTGAACTCATGA